ATTGCCTATTTGATACGTTATGGAAATACTTTAAACTTTTTTTAGTATTCCGTTTATGTTTCATATTGTTGTGGTGCTTGTTGTCTTCTGCCGGCCTTTTATGTGAATGCAGATTTTAAAAAACACACTTGCATTTGTGAGGGAGAAATAATTGTGACATTTCATATTTTGATAGTTCGCTTTTTATTTAGTATCTACAAAACGCTTAAAAAAACTAAAATGGTTCTTTCCTAATTAGGATGCAAGACTTTTAAAATGAGATCATCTTAATATTAGTAGTTTTATCTGGCCAGGGAAACTTGTTAGATACAGCACAATGCATTTGGACTGCAGCAACAGTGCACTTTGAACAAGTTTTGGAGCTGTTTGTTCCACCATATAAGATTTTTTTGAGTTGTATATATAGCTGCATTTCAAAGTCAACTAAATGCAATAAATATGCCAGTCTCCATGGTGTAGTGTGTTCTTTGGAGGGTGCTTAATAACTTTAAGTGGTTTGGGGTTAACTTGGGTAGCCACTGAAAAGTAATTGAAACTTTAAGGTGCAGGTAGGATCATGTTGGACCTTCAGCACCACACACGTGGACAGCGCCATGTCATACAAACATAGCCAAGTGTTCATTAGAGGTTTAATGCTTAGCAGTAGTATATATAGAGAAAGACATTACATACCATTTTTAATTTCTACCATCAATATCTTCTATGGGGTTCTTTATTGACACACCATCCAGTTCAATAGCTTTCCAAATGAGGGTCACACTGCTCCAAAACAAGTTGTAAAATATTTATTATATAGCTTTTGAAAGGAGGGACCCAGTGCTACAGTGCAAGCTGTAAAATATTTATCTGACTCTATAGAACATACTTCAAGTCTTTAATGTAGAAGTATTTACTCTATGATGCTCAAAATCTACCATCACCTTTTTTTATAGGGTGAGCTTTGTAACTTAAAAGTTATTCAATAACCATTACAGACACATTGAAGGTATAAAGTGAAACTGTGTTTTGCTCATTATGGTTTCAAAGTAATTTTAAAGCAAATCATTCCTCTATAAATAAATCTATAGTAAAGTAAAGAAGTGACTATTTTCAGGCATTACAGTAATAAATACATTTAGATAATGTAATAATTTTTGATGGAAAGTGTGTCAATGAAGAAACCCATATAAGACCGTGATGGAAGATACTGAACATCTAGAGTAAATATTTCTACATTAAAGACAAAGTATGTCATTTTAGGTCAGATAAATATTTTACAGCTTGTTTTGGAGCGGTGTGACCCTCCTTTGGAAAGTTATTGAACTGGATGGTGTGCCATTGATGAAATCCATAAAATATAGTGATGGTACAACTATGTGAGGCACAAATTCTTTATAAACCATCTTGAAGAAAGCCACTAGTTTTTGAAGTGTTCACCCAAAATCAACATCCTGTTTGCTGTCATGCTTTCTGAGTACTTGTCAATAATCTGATGTAATCTGTTCAAAACCTATTGAAATAAAGCATGTCATTGTCAAAACCGTAACAAACCAACACAGTTCTTTTTCATTTTGAAGCAAAGATATAAATAAAAACAGTTTCCACTGGATTGTTACCAAATTACAGTTCATGTACATTATTTTTCATTTCCGAAACATCTTTTCAAAAAACCTCATTATAATGCCATTTTTATTGTTGCTAAAGAAAAATCTATAGCATTAGAAGGCATAATGTGAGTGATAGTTGCTGGGACATCTGTAGTTGGCTACAAAGTTGTCTGTTTGCACACAATGAAAAAAGTACAACTTTTTAGATGGTCCCTATCTTGTTTACCGCTCTACATTGGACATTCGGTGGACATTCGCAAGTAAGTATGCCATTAAAACTATACTTGGCCAATTTGATCGATTGTGGGAAAAATTTAGTAGGTTGACAATCATGTCGCTGATTAGAATTTGCAAAAAAAAACGTTATTGCACATATAATTAGAAAGTTATTGAACACGGAAATGTGTGAATGTTGTGAATGTGCGACTATAAAACCAACTTTACCCAAGTGACCGATCCGACAGAAAATGCCTGTATCGGAACGATACCAATACCGAGTATCAGATCGATGCATCCCTAGTTTGCAGGAAAGAATCAGATTGCTCTGGATTACAGGTAATAATGTTGTAAATAATGTTCAGTTTCTTGCACAGACCGAATGTTTCTCTTCATAAGACCTCAATATGTCACCAGGAGCCACAGCCATTAATTTTGTGTTTCTTGAAATGCTTTTTATTCTCAAAAACGTGCAGTTTTTCTGTCAAGCAATTGTAATTTTTAATCTAATTAATGTGTTAATCTAATTAATTGCATATTTATCACACATCAAATTTTGCTGAGAAATGACTGCCAAAAAACACTATAGTTTTAGGTGAACTAGGTAAATTGGAATTTGAAGGAAAGCTCTTTAAAAAAAACATATATCTACATTAAAGACAAAGTATGTCATTTTAGGTCAGATAAATATTTTACAGCTTGTTTTGGAGCGGTGTGACCCTCCTTTGGAAAGTTATTGAACTGGATGGTGTGCCATTGATGAAATCCATAAAATATAGTGATGGTACAACTATGTGAGGCACAAATTCTTTATAAACCATCTTGAAGAAAGCCACTAGTTTTTGAAGTGTTCACCCAAAATCAACATCCTGTTTGCTGTCATGCTTTCTGAGTACTTGTCAATAATCTGATGTAATCTGTTCAAAACCTATTGAAATAAAGCATGTCATTGTCAAAACCGTAACAAACCAACACAGTTCTTTTTCATTTTGAAGCAAAGATATAAATAAAAACAGTTTCCACTGGATTGTTACCAAATTACAGTTCATGTACATTATTTTTCATTTCCGAAACATCTTTTCAAAAAACCTCATTATAATGCCATTTTTATTGTTGCTAAAGGAAAATCTATAGCATTAGAAGGCATAATGTGAGTGATAGTTGCTGGGACATCTGTAGTTGGCTACAAAGTTGTCTGTTTGCACACAATGAAAAAAGTACAACTTTTTAGATGGTCCCTATCTTGTTTACCGCTCTACATTGGACATTCGGTGGACATTCGCAAGTAAGTATGCCATTAAAACTATACTTGGCCAATTTGATCGATTGTGGGAAAAATTTAGTAGGTTGACAATCATGTCGCTGATTAGAATTTGCAAAAAAAAACGTTATTGCACATATAATTAGAAAGTTATTGAACACGGAAATGTGTGAATGTTGTGAATGTGCGACTATAAAACCAACTTTACCCAAGTGACCGATCCGACAGAAAATGCCTGTATCGGAACGATACCAATACCGAGTATCAGATCGATGCATCCCTAGTTTGCAGGAAAGAATCAGATTGCTCTGGATTACAGGTAATAATGTTGTAAATAATGTTCAGTTTCTTGCACAGACCGAATGTTTCTCTTCATAAGACCTCAATATGTCACCAGGAGCCACAGCCATTAATTTTGTGTTTCTTGAAATGCTTTTTATTCTCAAAAACGTGCAGTTTTTCTGTCAAGCAATTGTAATTTTTAATCTAATTAATGTGTTAATCTAATTAATTGCATATTTATCACACATCAAATTTTGCTGAGAAATGACTGCCAAAAAACACTATAGTTTTAGGTGAACTAGGTAAATTGGAATTTGAAGGAAAGCTCTTTAAAAAAAACATATATATATATATGGAAAAAACTATTTGTGGAAGTGTTTTCATTGTAATATTTGTATTTATACATTTATTATCTTTTTAAGTACTTTATTTGTAAAACTTTTTTCTTTTTCAAAAACGTAACTCCATAGCGTACTATATATATATATTATTAGTTTATTATCTAATAATTGTATTTATAATATATTTATTATTATTATTAATATCATAGCAGTCCCTTTTGCCCTGTTCTTGGCCTTCTGAATTTGGACTTTTAGATGTATGGAGAAGCAAATTTCCAAATTGTAGAGATTTCACGTTCTACTCCCATAGACATACGTCTTGTTCTAGGATAGATTATCTTATTATTATTATTAAAAGCATATCTTAGAGGTCTGATTATTTCATTCGCAAGTGCCAAGAAGAGAGAGAGGATAGCTAAACAACAACAATTAGAACACACAAATACAAATCTAGAAAAACTGCATAAGCAAACACCAATCTCACAGCTACTAAATAAAATAAAAAAGATGTTTGAAGAGAATATAATAGATTAAGTGCTAATAAGATCGAAGGCAATCTTAAGGTTTATTAACCAAAGATATCATGAACATGGTAGAATGTTAGAAATTAGATTAAGAGAGCAAAGATCTTCAAATATTGTACAAAAAATAAAACCTACTAACTCTTTCAATCCCCAGAATCCTTTGCAGATCTCTATTAAATCCCTCGACAGAAACTTAGATACCTGCTCTGATGATAATATCCTGGCATCATTCCTAAAGAATGTAAAACTGACTGAGTTAACCGAGTCGATGGCAAAGGACCTGGATAAACCTATTGAGGAAAGTGAGAGTTTAAGAATAACAAAAGCCCAGGACCCAACGGATAAATAAATTAATTTTATAAATGTTTAAAAAACTAGTGTCTCCGCTCTTGGTAAGAGCTAGGGGATGTAATCATTAACCGCGAGCCGGTTGAAAATCGATTCAAATCTGTGACGATTCAAATCGGTTGAGATGCTAATCAAACCGCGATTCATTTAGGGGTAGGAGTTTATATGAATGTATGTCTGAGGGGAACTTACTGTCTTTAGAAAAGTTTCGATGGTATTTTTTCTTTTCCTCTTGCCTCTGTGTAATGCATATTAAAGCTCATAAGTGCAGCGCTGCTTTGTTTACAGCAGAAACCAAGGAAAGGCTTTAAGCGCCACCTGCTGGCAGAGAGTGCATCTGCGTCTCGTTCAGCTCGTCTGCTGTTTCGGTTTCATGCAGATCTTTTTTATGTATAGTTACACAAAACTGAATTCAAACCATTCTGTTTTTGCTTCTAATTTCGAAATGATACGATCCAATTTAGATTAAAAACTGCTCGTGTTGCATGTATGCAGCATCTGTGTTTGGATCATGATTAAAATGCAGTGGTTGCCTCTAATTTTAAATGTTAAGAGCACAGACAAAGCCTTAGTTTGTTTATATGAAGAGATTTATTTGATTTGTGTTACTTATTTATTTGATTTTGGGCTAGTTTTAAAATTTCAATTTAGTTTTGTTTTTTATATTTACATTATATTTACATTTTGTCATTTAGCAGATGCTTTTATCCAAAGCGACTAACAAACGAGGACAATAGAAGCAATCAAAACCAACAAAAGAGCAATAATATGCAAGTGCTATATTAGTATATTATTATATTTCAATTTCACAAAGAAACGTGCAGCATTTTGTCCAAGCAATAATAAAAGGACACATTTAATTTATAATTTGTCTCAAATGTCATTTTGTAAAAATAAAACGTGAATCGAGTCGTATCGTGAGTTGAGTGAATCGTTACATCCCCAGTAAGAGCATATCATTATGCACTGCAGTCTGGTACGGTGGAGGGATGCAACCATTGTCGTAATTCACTAAGATGGCAAAGATCCTGCTGAATGCCAATCATACCAGCCTATTTCATTGTTAAACAGCGATTTATGTATATCACCTACCATTCTTGCAAAAAGAGTTCATAAAATTATTAGTCAGATCATAAATCCGGACCAAACCGGATTTATTCGGGAGAGACATTTTGGGGATATCCTTTGTAGGGCGTTAAACATTATAAGCTATACAAAATTTACCATGGCAAAGGCATTGTTTTTATCATTTGAGGCACAGAAGGCATTTGATCAGGTATCTTGGTTGTGTCCGATTCAAACTCTTTAACGGTTTAAATTTGGCTCCCAAATTCTCCCGCGGGTCCTTTAAAACAAGTGAGTTGTATCAAACTTAAAGCCATAAAAAGTTTTAAATATGTTAAATGGTATAAGAAATGTCTTAATTATAATTTCAAGAGGTCTTACAGTTGGGGACGTTTAGACGAGAGTCGCGATACGGCTGGATTAAACTTCAAAAGGCAATGATATCATTGAATAAATATGAGCGCTGCATGTTTCGCATCAAAACGTGGTCGCGGATGTCTTTATTTGAATGTATCTGAAAGGAACCGACTGTCCTCAGAAACATGCCGTTGGCATTTTAATTTCATTTTACCTATAGTTCCTGATAAAGCAGTGGTTTATGAGCGCGGAGCTGCTTTATGTGCAGCCATTACCGGGGAAACTGCAATATTTCAGCACTCCTAAAGCGCCACCTCGTGGCAGAGAATTAATTTGCGATAATCGCGTCACCGCGCATCACTCCCTCTCTCTCCCACTCCCTCACTCTCATAATCGAAAATGGGCAAAGAGGTGGGAGCAGGTTGCTGAAGCCAGGCCCACCTAGCTCGACGGCCGTGTCAGCAGCGGCAATCCACCTGTCACTCAAGTGGCCACGCCCTTAATTATGCAGAACTTTAAGGCTAATAAGAAATTAATTTATGCTCCCAAGGTCAGATTTTAGTTTTTTTTTGCGACTTCAAAAAACAACTTTTCTAAAGAAGTGGGCCCCTGTTATGCCTTTAATATTTCAATAATGAGCTATACTGTAACAAGCACAGTAATTCCCCTTCTCCTTCCATCTTTTGTTTTTTCTGTTTCTCTTCTCTCTTATTAAGTGTACTTGGATGTTTTCATTCTCTGTATAACGTTTGATATAATTAAGACTGAACAACTGTCAATATAACTGGAATTTGAAGGACTAACATGTTACATTTTAACAATGTACTGTATAATTGTACTGTATGCAACATCGAGGTAAAAAAAAAAAAACAAGAACACAAAAAGGTCTCATATGCAGGACTTTTCAGGTGTGATGGCAAAATATATATTTTTTTTATTGCACTGATCAGAAGTAAATGGTTTTGAACATTTCCTCCCAAGTGAATGCATAGATGATTTTGAAATTTTACCACACTAGAGAACACTATCATTTCTTTGCAGAATGGGTTTGCAAATGACGCTTCAGGTCTCTGTGATATGTGAAACTCGTCTCACACTGAAGATGTGTATGGCTTCTTTCTCTCCAATGTGAAGACTCATGTGAATGTTAAGGTTTCCTTTAAATCTGAAACTCGTTCCACACCGAGTGCAGGCGAACGGTTTCTCTCCAGTGTGAACTCGTGAGTGAACCTCGAGAGATGCTTTGTTTTTGCAAGTTTTTCTCTCCGATGTGAGTCAATACATGATTCTTGAGGTGATTCTTGTCTGTGAAACTCTCTCCACACTGCTGACATCTAAAGCAGTTCTCTCTGGAGTGAGTCCTCATATGGCTATTAAAGGTTAAATGGTATTGGAAACTCTTTCCGCACTGAAAACACACAAGCGGCTTCTCTCCGGTGCGAGTTCTCATGTGGGCATTAAGGGTTGGTTTATGTGTAAATCTCCTTCCACACTGTTGGCAGGTGTAGGGCTTCTCTCCAGTGTGAACTCTCATGTGGACTTTAATTCAATTGACTCGGAGTTTCAAAAAGCTCCGTTTGTTTTTCTTTTTATTCACTACACGTTGTAAAATAAAAGTTGGTCGAGCTTTCTCAGTAGTTGCCCCAAAGAGAACATCAGACACTTTTAAATCTAGCTTAAAGACTTATTTTTACTCTTTAGCATTTGAGTGATACTTTGAATAGTTGAATTGGTGTTTTATGAATTTTCATTGTAATTGTTTTTGATACTCGTTTTATTTTCCGTTGCTATAAACTGATTCACGATACAGGGAGCGAAATGAGACTCACGTGTTCTGCTATTCACGTGTGGATGCGCTTTTCTCACACAAAATAACATTAAGATGTTCCATTGAAAAACTTTGACTTCATTTAGATCGCTTGTAAAAACGATGCAGTGCGTTGAACGGTTTGTATCGATTTAAACACTGTAAATGCTTAAAAACTCAGACCTTCTCACACCATAAAAGCACGAAGGTGCATAGAAATGTACATAAAAAAAAACACACTACTAATGCATCATATGTATCATGTTGAAATGTATTATCAATTATTAATGCGGTATATTTTGTAAAGATTATTTTGTCTCTGTGTGTGTGCGTGTGTATGCGCTTTTCTTTACACTTTAAGTCCATGGAAGTCCAATGGATTATTTAATTTTTCTAATAAAGTTTCTAGTATTTGCAGAAGGAAAGAGGGGAGTAAACAGTGGGGCTGTGAATCTTTGGGTAGACAGCGAATCGATTCGATTCATGATTCATAGGTTTTCGATTTATGAACGATTTATGCAAAATTCAGAATGATTCTATTCGATTCACAGTTAAATTTGATCCGATTAACGATTCGATTCTGCATTCCTGAAGTGCATTCACAGGATTATTTAAATGCTTAGTCAGGGGGCAAATTACACTCCAGCATTTATAGTTAGAGAACCATAGGTTAGAGAGAAAAAACCCACTTTTGTGCGAAATGTATTATCAATTATTAATGCGGTATATTTTGTAAAGATTATTTTGTCTCTGTGTGTGTGCGTGTGTATGCGCTTTTCTTTACACTTTAAGTCCATGGAAGTCCAATGGATTATTTAATTTTTCTAATAAAGTTTCTAGTATTTGCAGAAGGAAAGAGGGGAGTAAACAGTGGGGCTGTGAATCTTTGGGTAGACAGCGAATCGATTCGATTCATGATTCATAGGTTTTCGATTTATGAACGATTTATGCAAAATTCAGAATGATTCTATTCGATTCACAGTTAAATTTGATCCGATTAACGATTCGATTCTGCATTCCTGAAGTGCATTCACAGGATTATTTAAATGCTTAGTCAGGGGGCAAATTACACTCCAGCATTTATAGTTAGAGAACCATAGGTTAGAGAGAAAAAACCCACTTTTGTGCATTGTTAGATGCTAGTTTAATGATGCTATGGCATGACATGGCATATGTAGAAATTTATGTAAGCCAAGATTTTAAAAAAGAGCTTTAAAAGTATTATGTATAGGCTAACATTTTGCCACACACACATATATATATATATACTTTATAGTTTCTGTACTGTAATAATTATATGTCAATTAGCACTGCATCATTCATACATTTTATTTATTTACTGTGTTTATTGTCTTAACGTTTCATCAGTTCATTCTGCTTTTTATACAGTTTAGCTGCAGGTATAGCCTGGCACGTCTATGAGCGCGAGATCACTTCTCTTTCAGTGCGAAAACTTCTTTATCTCATTTTCATCAAATAAAATAAAATGCTATAGTATTGAACTTTTCCTCTCTCCATCGGCGAATGATGATCCTGAAAGAAAACGCGCCTGATGTCTAGCAACGAACGCTACTTTCATGCGTCTGATTATCAGATAAACCCCGCGCTCTTATTTCAAGGTTGTTGTTAATGCTGTGGTTATTTTAACAGTTTCCTTCGTACATTCGGTTCAATGACATTGTTAAAACACATTTATCATTCAGTGGAACTGTGCGTATGCTTTACACAATTACATTTTTGCTCCGTAAATGTCGTCGGTTTGTCGTCAGAGCCATTGACAAACTACAGAAAAGTAAAACTAGGCTACTTCACTTTAGCATTACTGGCCACGAGTACTAAGAAGGAGAGATCACACATCAGCTGCGTCACTGAGCGCGAGCGCAATCCTGTGACAGTCACTGGCGGTAAATAGTGGAGCACTGTTCAAGGTCTCCATTCATTCCTGCTTGTAGTACTTTAATGTGTATATATTTTGAAAGCATTGAATCGCTTTAGAAATCGCGATTCATTCGATTCTTAGCGTTTTAAATTGATTACTGTCCGAAAACGACGATTCACGATGTTTCAAGATCGATGCATTGCATCGTCAGGGTTTGTAATCGACGCATCGAGAAAACGAGTGAATCGTTATACCGCTAGTAAACAGAGTACATCCAAGCTCAAACAAGGCTTAGTGTAGGCTGTATTTTGTATGTTTTTGCAGTAGAACAGAAAAGCACTCTTCTGAATGATTTTAAATTGCTGGGAGCCAACAAAAACAAATATTAGACAACACACATTTAAAGGAGGGAATTACTATATAAATCATCTTTATGAGT